TAAAAAACTTGTTTCTTAAATTTTATCATTTGACTAAAATATTGAATAATTTTCGTTAAAAGTTAAAGGATTTACAACCAACAAGAAAACAAATATTTTATATAAAAACACCAATTACAATTTAAGATACAAAAGATAAAGATACTTGTTTATAAATTAAAAAAATTAATATGTTCTAATTTAGAAAAATTAAAATATTCTTATCAAAAAAAAAATTTAAATAATAAAACAACACGATTAAAAATTCTGTTTTTTTTTATTACTAATTTTTTTCTAATCTTAGAATTTAAGAAGCTAAAAATTTTCAAAACAAGAATCGAGGAAAACTCACGTAGAGAACTAGCTTGAATCAAAATTTTTAAACTTGTTTACAAACTAGTATTTTTTCTTTTTGTCATCATCTTTTTCAATTTCTTTGGCTTTACATTTTTTTGATGATTCAGCAATTGGATTTTCATAATCATATAAACTATTATCTTTAATATTTTGTGACTTTTTTCTTCTAAATCTTCTCGATATTTAAAAAGTTTTTTACAATTTGGATAATCTCTCAAATAATTTTTCTTAAATTCTGGAAAATTTTGACGCCAATAAACATCGTCACCATCAATTATATGTTCTCCATTTGATCCATTTATTTTTTTGCTTTTTTCTATTAATTCTTCTATTGTATTTTCTCCGTTTCGATATTTAACGTCTAATTCCAAATTACGAAACTTTTCTTCATTACCTTTATGAAATATAATTTCTGTTGTACGTTTTTCAATATTATCATTCCATTTGCCAGTAAATTCAATGATATAATCTAAATGTCGTTTAAACTGTCCCCAATCACACTGTGTTGATTCCTCATTATTATGAGTTCTACCGAAATTATATGCATCTTCTGGTGGTTTTCTTGCTGTTAAAAATATATATTTTGCCAAAAAAGGTTTGAATCCTTTCGATTTAATCTCTACATTATATGGTGTGTCATTAAAAAGATTTACTGTATCGCCCCAATCAATTTTCGTATAAAATTCATCTAAAAGAACCATTTCTTGACTATGATAACCATTCCACCAATTTGATCGTTGTTTTTTTGGTTTATCAGCATATAATTGATCTCTAAATAATTCAGTTACAAGTCCTGATTTTCTACTTCCTCCACAACCATAAAGATAAAAAGTTACAGGATGCCAAAATCTTTTTAAATCTTTTTGTTTTTCTTTTTGTAAATCAATATAAATTTTTGTCATCGTCTCATAACTTTTACAATATGGAATTTTATTTTTATTTTCTCTAAATATTTCAAGTGGCGTTTTTCCTTCT